TTATTAAATAAATAAACAAATAAATAATTCTCACAAAATAGGAAAATTTTTTTTTCATATAATAATTACTCCATTAATTGGCTAATTTTTCGAAACATTTTAATACAAAAAAAATTGATTTTCCTGCATTAAAAAGAAAATTTATTTAAACCAAATAAACGATGACTTTGCTATTATTGAATAAATAAATAAATAATAATTATAATAATAATAAAAAGAAGAAAAAAAGAAGAAGCAGAACAAAAAGAAATATAAAGAAGAAAATTAAAAATAAAAAACAATAATAATAACAAACCAATTAAATTAATTAAATTAGTTAAAAATAAATAAATAAGTTGACTAAATTGATTATCAAATTATAATGATTTTTATTTGAAACAGATAAATTTTATTCAAATAATTTCTTTATTCAAAACATTTTTTGTTTTGACTTTTTGTTTATTATTTGATTAATTGAAATAAAAATTATTTGCTACAAATAAATATTTATACGATAACACTATTCAATCAATTCATTGTTTCAATCAAAAATTTTTCAGCCTAAAAATTAACAAAACAATTTACAATAAAATCTCTTTTTCTCCCCATCTTAAAAAAATAGTTTCCTAAATATAAAACCAAATTTTCAAAAAATTCTCAATAAAAAAAAAATAATAAACACAAAAAACAAAGAATTATAAATAGATTTTCAAAACTCCAGAGCATGAAACTTGTGTGACTTAATAAAATTGACTTTGAGGAGGTTCAAAAAAATTAAAAAATGATAACTTACTCGTAATTACAACTGGATTGCTTAAAATACAATAAAAAAAAATTTATTACTCATTAAAGGTAATAAATGTTTATGTTCTAGCATTCTCAATTAATAAAAAAAAAACTTTGATGTCTCTGCAGATAACAAGTAAATTAGTTTTCTAGTGAATTTGCCATTTATATATTTCAGTAATAATAATATGATTTTTTCTGCTACTAATCAAATTATAAATTTAGCAAGTGGAAAATTTTTTATCATCAAATAAACTGTAAAATTTGATAAAAAAAAAATAATATCCGTCCTAATATAATTACTTTTAATTATCTTAACAATTAATTATTCCGTAACTCACGATTTATTTTATCGGGAAAAAATTTAATTATAATATGTAGAAGTATGTTAATTCATATTTAACAGAAATCAATTAATTAATTAATTATAAATTCATAAATCATTTCAGAGAATTTTTTTCAAATAAAAAAATTAAATAATTGAAATAAGCGAATCCGAACATTTTTGAACAATATTTTTAATTGATTCGAAATCAATTAAAAAATTTTGAATTCATTAATCGAGAACAAATTTATTTTTAATTTATTAATAGTAATTAAAAAATTAAAAAATATAATTACAATTATAATAATTATTATTATTAAAATTATCATTATTGTTATTATCATTATTTATTATTAGAATTATTAAATTATATTTCTATTCTTTTGCAAAGAAAAAAATAATAATTAAGAAAATAAAAAATTTTGATGCAATAAATAATTTAAATTTCATATTTTACTTTTTGGTGACAAGAAAAAATTTTTTGCTACTTAATTAAAGCACCGATTAAATAATAAATAGCATTTATCCTTTTGTTGATTATTTTTACTTTTTTTTATCGAAACAAAATTGTAAAGTTTTAAAATATTCTCTTTGACTTCTTTTAACGTCTTAATTAAGCCTAATAAGGATTTCTTCGAGAAATCCACTTCGTCATTTCTAGTTCAATGTGATTTTATTTTTATTTTCATTGAAGCAATATTTCGTGCAAGAATGTATAAAGTGACATTTCAAAAATTTTTACAATTCACGCAATTTTCATGTCACGATTGTGATAAAACGGATATTTTTAACTTTTATTTCTAGAAATATATACAAGATGACTTTGCAAAATTTTTGCATTTCATTTCCCTATTTATATATATAAATAAATTTCTTTATTATTCTCTGATAATCTAGTTTATTATATATACACTATATCTTTTAGAGTTTATTTTTCGAACGAAGAATATTTTTATTTTTGCTCCAATTTCTATTGTTTTCAATTTTTAGAATGTAGGTATATAAATAATAAAACTGACCCTTTTACGTGCTTTGCACAAACTTGCTCGCAAACTTGCGTTAAACACAGAGAAGGATTTAGAATGAGATAATAAATTTTACACAGGAAGCTGCATGTTAGAAAATTTAGTTTAAAGTGCTTAAACAGAAAAATTTAAATACGTAATGTCTATCGTTATCAGCAACTAACTTTTCGAAAACAACAACGTTTCTCACTACTTCTTAATTTAATAATCTCCAATAGTTTTTGCAATTTCTCATATTTTCGAGGAAAAATGACTACACTAACGACAATGTTCCACAATTTCAATTAATTATGAAATATTTTTTATTAATTGCTCATTAATTTGTAATTTATAATTATTAACTAAATTATAATTATTAACTAAATTATAATTACTAACCAAATTATAATTATTGACTAAATTATAATTATTGACTAAATTACAATTATTGACTAAATTATAATTACATTAACCAAATTATAATTATTAACTAAATTATAATTGTTGACTAAATTATTATTGTTGACTTAATTATAATTGTAAATTAAACTACAATTATAATAATGAACAAAATTATAATTCTTAATTACATTACAATTATAGTTAACATTGCAATTATAATTATTAAATGAAACATAAATTATAATCATAATTATTAAAAAAATAAATTATTAAATTATTAATAATTATAGGTACTTCTCAAAAATTGAAAAATGAAAGAAGAAAATAATTGAAAACGTAATAAAATTATACAAATAAAATAAAGAACAAAATTATAATTAATAATTATAAGTATAATTATCGAGCAAATAATTATAAAAATAATTAAATAGAAAATAATTAAAAATATAATTGTTATAAACAATTACAAATATAATTATATGGTAATAATTACAAATAAAATAATAATTAATAACTATAATTGTAATAAATAATTATAAATCTAATTAGGTACAAATTACAGAAGTAATTAAATGATAAATAATTACAAAAACAAAAAGTAAAAAAATATTTTATTCAATAATTAAATTGTTTCTTAAAATTGAATTTTCATACAGAATTTTAACAACAAAATATTTAAATAATTTAATTCTCTTGACAAATTTGAATAAAATTTTTAAGAATAATTTCATTTTTCGAGAAATTTTCATTAAAATTGTATTAAAAATAATTTTAATTCTAACAAGAATTTTATTATAATTTTTGAAAATAATTCTTTAGGCAAATTTTTATAAAATGTTTAAGAATATAATTACATTTTTCGAGGAATACGATTAAAATTGTATTAAAAATAATTGAAATTCTTCCATGAAATTTATTATTTATGAAAATAATTGAATTAGTGCGAAAAATTTTATAAAAAAGTTTCAAACAATTTATTTTTTTTTTCGAAAAAATTTATGCAAATTCTATTTTTAATAATTGAATTCCTCTGAAATTTTCATTATTTTAGAAAATAATTGAATATTCGTATAGAATGTTGTCAAAATTGTTTTTTAAAAAAATAATTGAATTATTCTGGGAAATTTTATTAAAATAATAAATATACAAATTATTGAATTAAGAAAAAAATTTTGCAAATAATTGAAATTTTGCCATGAATTTTATTAAAATTTTTTGAAAATAATTAAATTTTATTACTTTTGAAAATAATTGAAATTTTGAAAAGAATTTTATTAAAATTTTTTTAAATAATTAAATTTTGGAGAAAAATTTTATTATTTATAAAGATAATTGAAATTTTGAATTGAATTTTTTTTAACTTTTGGCCATAATTGAATTTTTGCGAAGAATTTTATTACTTTTGAAAATAATTAAATTCTTCACGCAGAGAAAATTGATATTAAATTATGTAAAATTATTTTACAAATTAGGGAAAAAGTGCAACGATGAGGAATTCAGTAAAGTTATATTAGAATTTAATCAATATTTTTGATATTTTGATATAAATATATTAAATTTCTCATAACTTTTCTTAAATTTTAGTATTTTTTATATTAAAATTTCTCATTGTTGCACTTTTTCCCTAATTTGTAAAATACTTTTACAAAATTTAATATCAATTTTCTCTGCGTGTTGAGACGAATTTTATGAAAATTTCTTTTTAAATAATTGAATTCTTTTGTGAAATTTTTTTGAAATAGTAGACATTGAAAATAATTGAATTTCGCCAAATTTTTGAAATTAATTACATTTCTACAAACAATTTTATGAAAATTATTTTGAAAAAAATTTTATTGTTACAAAGAATTTCATTATTTATGAAAATAATTGAAACCCTGTAAAAAATGTTATTATTTATGAAAATCGTTGAAAAATAATTTATGAAAATAATTTATAAATAAATAATTACAATTTTAAAAGTAATTATTTGGTAAATAATTGCAAAAATAATTAAATAGCAAATAATTATAAATATAATTAATAATTAGAAGAATATTTCTACGATAAATAATTATAAATTCAATTATAATAAACAATTATACATATAATTGTTATAAACAATTATAAATATAATTGTTATAAACAATTATAAACACAATTATAATAAACAATTATAAGTATAATTATATTCTAGATAATTATAAATATAATTGAACGAATGCAATTTATAATTAATAAATTAAATAATCACAATTATAATAAATAATTCACAAAATTACAACAATGCAAAAAGTCGCAAAACTTGAAAACCAAAATAAACTCATTCGCATTTATTTTCAGTTGAAAATGAAGCAAAAAAAATTCAAAATTCAAAGGCGGGCCTTTTTTTAGAAACAATATCGTGGAAATGAGTTTATTACACCGCAATGATTAAATGGAGAATAAAGAGAGGTGGGGGGAGGGGATTGAGCGATATCGATCAACGAACATGTCGTATAGTACTTATATGATGATGTCGGCACACTCCAGTCATTCGCAACGTGTTCGCGACTCTATAAACAACTTCTGTTTCGTAAATATTTTTTTCAAAATTTTCAATTATCGTTTTTCGTTTTTCATCTCAAAATCCAATAGGAGAAAAAATTTAAAAGTTTTTGAATAAAAAAAAAAAAGTCATTCCTATGAAGCGGAGAAATTCGAAAAATTTTCAAATTTGGAGAACAGGAAAGATGCTCAGTGGTGGTTGATGAAGAGGAAATTAAAAATATAGTTTTTTTCTATTCAAATATAATCTAAAAGGGATTAAATTGGAATCAATTTTTTTTTTGCCTGACAAGACACGCTAATGACACAATATTCAATTGATCGATCGTTTCGAATTGAGATCATCAGGTCGACAGGTGGATTTTTACGTGTTCTCAGGAGGTCAACTTGAAACGGGAGCCGAAGACAGACTCGAATTACAAGTCTTGAAAGAGAGAGAGAGAGAAAAAAAAAAGAATTTTCCGCCTCTTCTCCGACAAAGAAAGGTCTGTTTAAAGTTTAATTTTTATTCTCTTTTTCAGCAGAAATATATTTGCTTCTCGAAAAAATGCAAAATTAGGTTTTTTCTATTTTCATTGTTATCATTATTCAATTTTTCTATTGTCATATTTTTACTATTATTTAATTTTTCTATTATTACATTTTTACTATTATTTAATTTTTCTATTATTGTATTTTCACTATTATTTCATTTTTCAATTATATTTTTATATTTTTATTTTTTTATTTTTTATTCAGAATTATATATTAGATATTAATAAATTATCACATTATGTTCTTCGATGAAATCAGATAAATTCTGTTCGAACAAATAATTTCTGTATTTAAAGCAAAAAAGTTAATTGATTATTTAAAAAAAAAATTCTATGCTGCGAACGAATATTTATTTAACAATAGTCTTTAATTTAATAGATTCAATTTAATTAGTAATTGTAATTTTTTACATTTCTTATTTTATTTTCATTATTGCTATTTAACTTTTTTTTATTATTTTCTATTTATTGATAAGCCAAATAGTAGTTTGAGTTTTTAATAACAAAATGACCAAAATACAAAATTTGTTTATTATGTTTTTATTATTATTATTTTATTTTATTCATCATTATAATTTTTATTTAATCATTTATTTTATTTTATTAATTTTTTAATTTTATTCAAATGTTAAATTTTTTAATTCTTTAAAGTTTTTTATTAAACTCGCATTAAATTACATATTAAAAATAGCGTGTATACAGATTACTTTAATTATTTATTTATTATTATTTTTGAATAAAATAAAATTAATAAATTATTTTCTCTGCTTACTTGTCAATTATTTTTATTTCTTCGTCTGTTATTCAAAAAATCAGTGTTGAATTTTATTTGCTATTTAAAATTTTTTATATGCTCGAATTCCTTTTAAAAAAAAAAAATTTTTTTTTTGTTCTCTGAATTTAAAGAATAAATTTGAAGAAAATAGATAATTTGTAATATCAATATATCGAGAGAGTAAAGGAAATATTCTCTCCATCTCGAAATACAATTCAAAAGAGAATAATAGTGTTTTATTCTTAGATCTTTGGGACACGAGTGCCTGTGAATTATTTACATGTTTTTGAATCCAGAAATAAGACTCAATTTTAGAAAAGATACTCGAAAGTGTATTTTGAAAATTACTCTTCAAGATTTCTGATTTTATATTCAATTTTTATTTTTTCCTTCTTTTGTGCTTCTAAAAAATAAACGTCATGATAATTATTATAAATTTTAACTCTTTACGCCTATTTGTTTCTAAAAAAAATCCACTAAAATTGAAAATTCTTAATAAAACACAATAATAATAATAATATAACTAAAATAATTATTAATTGCTATTTTTACTAATAAATTAGTATAAATTACTATTTTTACTCATAAATTAGTATAAATTACTATTTTTACTCATAAATTAGTAATAAAAAAATTAATTCCATAGAATTGTTAATAAAAAGTATGAAAAATTCAAATTTTCAAAGATTCTAATTTAAAACCTTTTACAAAATTCAATTATTTATCTAAAACTTTAACAGAAATTCATATTTAAATCATAATTTTTATTAGAAAATTCTACGAGAATTCAATTATTTAAATACAAGAATAAATAATTTTTTAAATAATTCAATGTAAAATGTAAATAAAGAATTTGATTAACAAATCTTTAATTCATTAAATTCTTTAGACGAATTTTAAGAAAATTTTTAAGAATAATTTCATTTTTCGAGAAATTATATTAAAATTGTATTAAAAATAATTGAAATTCAGCGATGAGTTTTTTTATTTCTGAAAATAATTGAATTATTGCGAAGAATTTTATAAAAAAGTTTCAAACAATTTATTTTTTTTCGAAAAAATTTATGCAAATTCTATTTTTAATCATTGAATTTCTGTGAAATTTCCATTATTTTAGAAAATAATTGAATATTTGTGTAGAATTTTGTCAAAATTGTTTTTAAATAATTGAATTATTCTGGGAAATTTTATTAAAATAATAAATATACAAATTATTGTATTAAGAAAAAAATTTTGCAAATAATTGAAATTTTCACATGAATTTTACTAAAAATGTTTGAAAATGATTGAATTTTATTACTTTTGAAAATAATTGAATATTTGTGATGAATATTGTTATTTATGAAAATAATTGACTTCCTCAGAATGATTTTATTATTTATAAAAATAACTAAATCCCCGAAAATAATTTTAAAATTTATGAAAATAATTCAGTTACTGCGAAAAATTTGATGCCAAATTTTAAAACATTTGATTTTTTGGAAAAAATTTATGCAAATTTTATTTTAAATAATTGAATTCATGTGAAATTTTTATTTTTTTGGAAAATAATTTAATGTTCGTGTAGAATTTTGTCAAAATCTTTCCTAATAATTGAATTCTTTTGGGAAATTTAATTAAAATAGTAGAATATTGAAAAATCAAAATCATTGAACTAAGAAAAGTTTTTGAAAATAATTGAAATTTTGCCATGAATTTTATTAAAATTTTTCAAAAAAAAATGAATTCTTGTGATGAATACTATTATTATTTATGAAAATAATTGAATTTTGCAATGAATTTTATTAAAATTCCTGAAAATAATTTAATGTTGTTTAAGAAAATTATGCTACTCATTTATAAAGATAATTGAAACGTTGAAAAATAATTAATTTTCTCCAAAGAATTTTGATATTTATTAAGAGAGTTGAATTCTTTTAAAGAGAATAGCGTTAAAATTTTTAAAATCAAAACTAATTTCAACAGAATTGAAATTAAAATTTTTCAAAAAAAATACTTCATTAAATGATTTATAAAATTTTAACAAAAAAAAACAATTATTTATATCACACATTTTAAACAACAAAAAACATGATAAAACTTCTAAGTAAATTTTTATTTGTTACTAAATAATTTGTTTGCCAAGATAAAATCTCTTTGAAGCTTTCTGCGGTAAGTTGATAATTTACAACAAGTTATTTAATTCAAGAAGTTTGTCAATGATAAGATTTACAACTTCCGTTCATATTTTCTTGAGGAGAAAAAGACAGAGAAAGAGAATTCGAGTGCAAATATTTGTAACGTTTCTTAATTTACTATAAAGTAGATATTGACAATTTGTAATTAATGAATTTTCATGTAAAAGATAATTTCTCACAGGATATTGAGAGGGAAATATATATGTATATATAGTTCGTTAGCGTAATCAAGATCATCGTTTTGCATTGCATCAAATTTGTCTTTCCGTGTTATGAGAACCGTGTGTATCTTTGCTTCAACTTCCGTAAAACTTATATCAGTTAAAATCTAATATATATTAGCTAAAATTAACTACTCCCATTCCTTCATGTCAAAATTTCATTAAACTTCATTTTCTAATAGGCAAAATTGTTTATATTTATACTCCTTTATTCAATTTTAATTTCTTCTTTATTAATTATTTATTTATAAATATTTTTTATTTTACGTTCAATATAAACCGAAATTTATATATTTATTATTTTATTATTATAAAGTTGTTTTAACTTATTTTTAAAGTTTAAACTAATTCGAAATTGAAATTTTTATTTGTTAATTACTCTCTAAATTTATTTCATGTATTTATTTATTACTTTATTTATTTTATCCCTTACTTTACTTTATTTATTTTCATCATATTTACTTACAAATTCAGAATCAATCAAAAATTCACTTCGCTTAAATAATTAATTAATCCAATTAAATAAACCTTATTTACTTTATCAATTACTTAATTCACTCTATTTAATTTCATTTTATTGATTCACAATTCTAAAACCAATTAAAAATTTTTAATTAATTCAAATCATTAATAAATAAGTTATATCAATAAAAAAATTTCTCTTCCAAATTTAAGTAAAAAGAAGATCTAGTTTGTAATTCATTTTTTTTTCGAAAAAAATTAAATAATAAAAATCACAGTAAGCTGACTGCCTTGGTCTATTCTTTTATTGCGCCATCGATAACATTTTTTTTTTCCTTATTTCAAGGTTGAAGTCATTACCTGAAAAGTGACGATGAAAATTCTTTGCAAGGCTGATTTTAATTTACAACTAATATTGCTTTACTTTTAATTATTCAAAATAATTCACCAAAACATGTATGTTTTATATTCAAAAGAAAAAATGAGATTACAAACTCATTTTAAAAATTCGTTTTGTAATAAAAAATATCGTAAATAAATGTTTATCTCTTAACAAATTTAAATAATGGTTTTGAAACTTTACTTGAAAATTATAATAAAGAAAAATAAAACAACAAAAATATTATTTTTAATAGAAAAAAATTAATTTTGTATAAATAAACAAAAAAATAGAAACGAAAAAGTAATAATAATAAGTAAATAATAATAATAATAATAAAAATAATAATAATAATAAATAGGTAATAATAATAAATAATAGTAATAATAATAGTAAAAAATAATAATATTAAATTATAATTTTAATTATAATTAACATATTGTCATATAATTACAATTTTTTTATTAGAACAATTATTTCGTTAATTTTCATAAAACGATACTGAATTGCAATATCAAAAAAAGCAAAAAATTTTCTTATAAAATTCAGAACAAAATCTACAGACTAATCACGCGACATTTTTTTTTAATTAAAAGAATAATCCATTTTATCGCAAATTTCTTATCATCTTATTCGTTCCGGAAGACTGTCATTTGACAATAATCACTTGAGTTTGTGTGAATGTGTACATATATATTTTTCAACGTTTCATTAATGACGCGTGAGATTATGTCAATCACGGGTTTATAATTTTGACGGTTTCCGTATTAAATTTATCAATGCCAAAAATTTTTATCACAAGTTTCGCAAAAAAAAAAAAATTTTCTCTCGCGCGTGAATTGAATTTTGTTTATAAATGTTTTTTTCATCTTTTTTTTTGACAACGATCCAACATAAATATTTTGGTCAGTGGTCCAGAAATGCAATCATGCAGAAAACACTTTTCACCTTTGTTTATAAATTATTTTTGCGTCTTTATCTTAATCTGTTTGTTTTAATCGCCAACTGAAAAATTGACAGAACCAATAGAGTTTAATTATTATTTATACTTTATTCTTTTTTAATAATTAAGCAAATTTAATAAAAATTTGTAATAATATTAATAATTAATTAATTATTATTTAGTAACAATTAATTAAAAAATTTTTTTAAAAATTAATTTTTGAATTTAATTAAAAATTAAAAAATTAATTAACTAAACATAAACTATTATACTTATATAATATCAATGTTAATAATAGTTTATAATAATAATAATAATAATAATAATAATAATATAATATTATTATTGTTTAATTAATTAATCAAAATTAAAAATTTTTTCCTTATTTTCTACGTATACGTTTATTATCTGTTAGTTTTATTTCGTTTTTTTTGTTTAAATTTCAACATTTTCACTCGGATAATTCTTAAATATCGCTTATTTTGAATACATAAATAATCTACTTCTGCGTAGTCAATGTTTTTTTAAAAAGATTTACAAAAAATTTAAATAACAAAGTAAATATTTTTTTTAAAGTTTAAGTTGATTTATTTAAAAAATTTTCATATTCAATTTAAGAATCGCAAATTTAAAAAAATCCGCTAAAAATTATCTCATTAAAATTTAAATAATTTACTAAAAAATTAATAAATTAAAAATGAAAAACAATGTAGGTATATTAAAAATAATTAATTAAAAATTAAAACAATTTATTAAAAATTAATTAATTATAAATTAAAACAATTTGTTAAAAATTAGGTAATTAATTTTTTTATTTTAATTTTTTATTTATTTATTAAAAATATTTATTAAAAATAATGAATTAGGCATTAAAACAATTTATTGAAAATTAATTAATTAAAAATTGAAACAATTTATTGAAAATTAATTATGTAATTAAAAATTGAAACAATTTATTGAAAATTAATTAATTAAAAATTTAAACAATATTTAAAAATTAATTAATGATTCGAATTTGAATTTTATCGAATATTTTAAAGTTTTAATAATTATTATTAATAAAACAGGGAAAAACGCAAAAATTATAATTTAATATCTTTTTTTTTAATTTTTGACTAACGTGGTGCATTTGACTAATGTTGCGCATTTTTTAATTTTTCCAATAAACAACAATAAAAAACAAAGTACAAATTCCAAAAATTACAAACTGAATAGAAATTAATAGCAATCGATAGTTAATAAATAAAAACAATTATTTATCGCCACGGGTAAAATTAATTTAATGAAATTTCAAATGAAATCAGTCAAGATCAGCTGTTTCCGGTTTCAGATTCAGTATTCTCTTTGTTTTGGTTTTAACAGTATACAGTGAATGTGACAGTTCGTAGTTTTTAATTATATAAATAAAGCCATTACTTGGCTTATGAGAACAAAAAGTTTATCCTTCTCCTCTTTTTATTAAATAATTCCTTATTGAAAAATTTCCTAACCAGATGTTGTTATTTTATTAAATGTCAATTATTTACACAAGTGCAATATTTTGAGGTTAAGTTTCTTTGTCATAAAGAGGAGGCAAAAAAATGCAGAGTTCGTCACACTTTGCAAGCTTTGCAATACTAGTAATAAAGTGACTAATAATTGATAAATATTATAATAAAAAAATATGATAACAAACAGGAATCACTTTTGTAAATTTACCATTTTTTTTCACATCCATCTCTCTTTGAGGTTAGGTAAGTTTCCCCTTTTTTTTCCTCGCGATTATTAAGAAACATTTTATTTATTTATCAGTGTGCGTCAAGGTGTTTACATTTTCCTGTAGAATTTTTCTTTACATAAAATATTATCTCGAACTGTTTTTTTTTTTTGTGGAAAAAAATTAATGAATATATTGTTTTTCTTTCAGGTTTACAAAATGACTTTCTGGAATATTACCTTTCTAGTATTATTAGGTTTGTTAAAGAAATTTTATTATTATTTATTCTATTTTATTCATTTATTGTATAATAATAAAAATTTATTCTTTGTTCAGTGACAACTAGAGTTTTCGCTGACTTTCAAGTCTCGAGGCAGGATCTGACTGTACTTGTTGGAGACAAAAACACCTTTAATTTATATTTAACGTAAATAATTCTATTGCTCTACTTAATTTTATTATTTTTGATTAATATTAATTATTCTTTTTAATATTAATTTTTTTTGTATTAATTTTTCTTATATTAATTATTTTTTTTTTAATTTTTTCTGTATTTTAATATTAATTTTTTTAAATAATAATTTCTGTATTTTAATATTAATTATATAATATTTATTTTAATACTAATTATTATAGTTTTGGTATAATTATTTTACTGCGTTAAAAATTGATTGACTTATTTTTTCCTTTTCCTTAATAAGAGGAAAGTAAAAAAATAAAAACAAAGTTTAATTTTATTTTGTTACTCAATGTTTATTTTAATTGCTTCATGAATTATTAAAAATTACTGTTTAAATTGAAACTTATTACAATGGAAAATTTAATTTTCAATAATATTGATTACAGTGAACCATTGTCAGCAGATGTGAATGTTACTTTTGATATACAGCATCCAGATTTGATAAGAGCTATACCGTCTAGTCTAAGTTTAAAGAAAGGGACACAAGATAATTTAACAATTGAAATTCAAGCTCTAAAAGCAGGAAGCGTTGTTCTCAGTGTAAATGCAACACCCAGTAATATTGCAAGGTTCGTAGAAAAACGAAAAAAAAAAATTGTCAAACAAAAAATTTACTAAAGAAATTCACTAAAAAAATTTACTGAAAAAATTTACTAAAAAAAATTTACTAAAAAAAATTTACTAAAAATCTTTGCTTACAAAATTTATTTTAACAAAAAAACTCAATGATTTTTAACAGCGATATTTTTAATGCCAAAGATAAATTTTTTTAAAAGCAGCAGGAAATTATTTCAAAAGTGATAAAAAAAAACCACAAACTTTGTATTTTCTTTTTTGTCAAAGCATAAAAACCTTGAACTTGAATTTATTTAACTATTGAATTTGAAAGTCTTTGTGAGTCAAAATAATATTTTGTAAATAAAAATGTTTCCTACTTTTTTTCCTTTTCTAAATAATAATTATATTGTTAAAAAACTTTCCTCTTTTCCTTTATTGTTTAACGGAATGTTTTATCGTTAAACAATAAATATTCTTATCAGGAAAAAAATTAATTTCTATTCAATACACAAATTTTCTATGGGTGGTCGTGTGATAAGAAATTTATCTAAATTCTTACAATTATAGAACATTGTTTTCTTGTTACAAGGCGGAATTCGGAACAGATTCTAATCAACAATACATTTGACATTTGCTTATTCTGCAACAGATAGCCTTATGGCCTCTTCTTTCTTTAAAATTCTACTTCAATGCAACTCAGTCTTTAGTTAGATTTTGACCAGTGCATTAATTCTCTTTTCTCATTTGTTCGAAAAACAATTTTTCATGTAAACGATCAATTTTTTTTTTAATTCTTTAGTCTAAATAATTGAATAAAGTAAATTTGGTCTAAAAAATTTTTTCTATTCGGACAATGTGTTTGTGTTTTTTCTCTCTCACGATTTCAAGTATTTTTTATATTAGAAAAAAATAGTGATAGAAACTTTTTTAAATATTTATTAATTCAGTTTATCATTTAATTCAAAATAATGCCAATTTATAAAGTTTTTGTTGTAACTCGTGATCAATTAAATAATGGTGAAATTGACGGTTACAAGTAAGATTTTTTGTATGAAAATTATTTATCATTTTCCAATTGTCTTCATTAAATTCTTTTCTATTAATTAATTTTTATTATTTAATTCTTCTTGCAATTTGTAATCTTTTGCAATTTTTAATTTTTTCTTTTCTTATTTGATTCTTTTTTCTTTTACAGTATTACCGATGCATTCGTCAGGATAACTGTGGAAAAATCGGCTATTCTCGATCACATAAGTTCAGTAGTCGGATGGCTTTATTTTTTGGCATGGAGTGTCAGTTTTTATCCACAAATTTTTAGCAACTATAGAAGAAAAAGTGTCGTAGGATTAAATTTTGACTTTTTATCACTCAATCTAGTTGGATTTGTTTTATACTCCTTATTCAATTGCGGTCTCTATTGGATACCCGAAATAGAGGTAAAAATTAATTTACATAATATTTATCACAATTTTCAATTCAGTGACGAAAAAGGAAAATTTTACCAAAATTCACATTTATAACCGAAAAATTGAATGAAACAAATTCTAAATCTTCAAATGAACAAATTTATTCAATTTCTTTTTCAAATTAAATTTTTATTGCAACAATTTTGCGTTATTGTCGAAAAAAATTAATTATAAAGTTTCTAAATGTAAAATTAAGTTTTTCAATATTTATCGCAATCAGCAATTTAAGAAAATATTTTTAATAACAAATATTTACTTCATTTGAAGGTTCAAAATTTTTTAAACAATTTTCCTAGCAAATGTTTACAGTTTTTCGTATGAAACGTTTTTACAAATTTTTCCTAAAATTACGTTTAAAAAGAAATTTGTTGAAAAAAAGATTATTTTATTGTTTTTTGATAATTCGTAAAGTTTAATGTTGAAAATTTTAAGGAAACTATTTTCTGTGTGAAAAATATTAATCGAAAGTTTGATAAATTGGAATAATTGCTATTACTAAAATTATCAAATTTGTATTTTTTTAATTAAATATTATTATTATTATTTTCTTATTTTCATATTGTCGTGTAATATTTTTTTCATTATTATTTTCATTATTGATTTATTTTTCATTAATATTATTATTTTTTTTTTGCAGCAAGAATATTTTAGTCGCTACCCAAAAGGATTGAATCCAGTGAAGCCAAACGATATATTTTTTTCGTTGCATGCATTTTTTGCAACAGTCATAACAATTATTCAATGTTTCATTTATGAGGTTTGTTTATTATGATACTATATTATGAATAAATGTTAAATTATGAAAATAAATGTATACTAAATGAAACCAATTTTCAGATTGGCAATCAAAGGGTTTCAACGACAGCGCGAATTATTCACGGAATATTTACAACGTTTATAATTATTAGTATTATTCTGTCATTACTGCAAGTGATTGCCTGGTTGGATTTTCTCTATTACTGCAGTTACGTGAAATTAGCGATTACATTGATTAAATATGTACCGCAAGCATTTTACAATTATAAACGAAAATCCACTGTCGGATGGAGTATTGGAAATATTTTTCTCGACTTCACTGGAGGAATGCTCTCAATGTTGCAAATGATTCTAAACGCTTATAATTTTGGTAATCTTTCTAGAATTAAACAAAATTTTTTCTCGTTCAAAATTTAATGTTAAATTAATTGAAAAATTTAATTTTAAATTAAAACAAAAATGGAATTTTAAGTTACAATTATTAAAAATTCAATTCTTTTCCAACAGAGGACTGGGAAAGTATTTTTGGCGACCCCACAAAATTCGGTCTCGGATTCTTTTCCGTCGCTTTCGACGTATTCTTTCTTGTCCAACATTATTGTCTCTATGGGTAAGTAAATTTCAAAATTTATTTCTTTGAAAAATTAAAAAAAAAGCACGCAATTTAAAAAATGGAAACTAATAATAATTTATGCTTCAGTACCTATTTTTTGCTCTAGAACTAAAAAAGAAGCATGCATTGAATGAATTTGCACGATCGGCTCATTATTCAAATAAAATCATTTTTAAATAGCAAATATTTTTCATCACGATCTAATTGTCAAGTGAAACTAATTAGCATTAATGCTAGAATTTAATTTAATGAAACGAGTATTTATTATAACTATTAAAACTCGAAACTAACCAAAGAAATTAAAAAAAATCTATGACATGGGCAGAACAAAAGTTTTGCTTTACAGAAGTGACAGCGAAAAAGTGATTGATCTGAAAGGCCGAGTTTAAACCAGTCTCGATCTACATATTTCATCTGTATTCAATTAAGTTCAGTTAATCATGAGAAACAGAGACTAGCTTGACGATAAGATCAAGCATTTGCTCTTTAAATAATTATTTAAAGGAAAAGGAAAAATTAAAAAGAGAAAAAAAACATTTTTCTAAGTAGTGTCAAGTGTTTGTGCCAATCTACTGAAAAAAAGACAATTTCGAAACTTAGAGAAGAATTTAGAGTATTTTTTTATTTAAAAAGTATTTTAGAATCTCTTAATATTTAAGAACTGTAGAATTTTTTTTATTAATTTAAAAGTATTCTAAAAGTAGTCATAATTGTCAAAAAATTAGTTTTTTGATTATTTAATTATTATTATTATTATAATTATTATTATTATTATTATTATTATTAATACTTTTAATATTATTATTTCACAATATTTATTATTATTTAGAAGCATTTTAGAATTTTTAGTCTAGTGTGTTAAAAAATGTATAGCAAAATAGTTGAGTTGAGAATGAAATTGAAAATAGTGTCTTTTAGAATTAATGTACAGGAATTATTTATTAGTTCGTTTTACGTTATTATTAATTTTTTACTCCTGTGTAGTATTTTATTTTTTACTTTCAATACCTGTATTATTCGCTTTATTATTGTTAAAGAAAAAGAAATTTCTTATAATCCAATTATCGAAGAATTTCTAATGTATTTAATACTATTTATTAAAATTTTGCAATTAAAATTAATTGCAAAAAAAATTACTGATACCAACAAATTTACAAATACTCTCTTACTTTCAATAATTTATTTAATTATAAAAAAAAGGAATAAATAAAAATATTAACGCGCTCCCATCCTACAAGTCATCCTATTAAATGTTTATTTTGAAGTATTTTTTGTTTATACAAAAAAAGTGTCGATTAAGCTGTATGCATGAAATTGGTGATAAAAGAGGAATTTATCATTTTAGAATAAAAAAAATGTATTCATTGTTTCATAAGTATAAGTGGATTATCGGTATTTTGCGGTCATTGACAATTTATAATTTGCATGAGGCATGAGGTCCAATCAATTTTCGTTGCAAAATTCATCGATGGAAGTTTCTTTTTCATTTCTTGTTTTGTCGTACTTGGGGCTTTTTTTAAAATATAAATTCAATCGCCGAAACCTTTTCTAACTTGCATGATAGAAAAAGGGTTCTGTGATTTGAATTCAAAAAATTTGAATTTTGATTCAAAAACTTTTTTAAAATTAAAAACTTTTTTTTTCAAAAATTATTTTAAGAATGGACACAAGATTTTACGTTTTACTTTTCAACAGAAAACATCGTGAAGGCTACATTATTCTACCAGGATCATGTCAAGCGGAAGGTGTTGAAGAAAGAATAACCGGAAGATCAAAGCAAAAATCTTCTTCGTCTAATGAAGAAATTTAGTCTTCAATTTTTTTTTGTATTAAAAACAAAAACTACATTTTACTCAAAGTCACGATAAATTAAATTTTTATACCAAATCGTAACGAATTGATATTTAACTTTGCAAAAATGCAAAAATATTACGTTTCCTAATATTTTTAAATTAATAATTTAATTTTTAATTTACGAACGTTTATCACATTTTTTTTCCTATAAGAAAAAATTATCTTCTGATAATTATTTTATCGGAATTTGTCAATTGAATTACCGTCTACATTCCTGTTTAAAACTCAATATTGTCATTTTTATGAGATTTTATATTATTTTTAATTATCTGTGATTTAAATTTAAGAATCTCTTTTGAAGGCATTTTTATAAACTCAAGAATCAAAAAAATTATATTTCAATATTAGAGAAATATTAAATGAAAAATTAAATCGATTTTGTTTTAACTAAAAGAATAAAAATTGTCTGAAATATTTACATATTTTGAAAAATAGGTAAATCACATATTTTATGAATATTTATCTTGACTGTAAATTTTTTTACATAGAAAAGGAAATTAATGTTTCTGATGTAAATTTTCGAAAATATAACTCATTTGGCTAAAAAGACAATATTGGAATTAATTAACTATATCGAAGTCCTAATTGTCAAAAACTAAAGAAAAGAGGTAACTTTTGGAGCAGGGGTGGAAGAAATTAATCGCCTCTAAAAGACTCCCTAGTGAGGCTATTGATAATATTTCAGAAAACGTCCCAAATATTGAAAATATAGAATAATTTTCGAAAAGTCAAACAAAAATTATTGTCGCGTATAATTTGAGACAATGTTTAGTAAAGGATAAAATATTGCAAGTAGTAAATAAATAAATTTGCAACAAGTGTAAGTAATAAATAAAAAAATTTGCATCAAGTGCAAGCAACAAATAAATGAATTTTTCGAATTTTTGCAGCAACTACAAGTAGTAAAAAAATAAATTCGCAACAAGTGCAAGAGATAGTAAAAAAATTCGCAAGTACAATTTAATGTAAAAAAGGGGAAAATTGCCTGTCAACTTGAAATTTTTTGAATTAATTACAACTTGACCCCAACACAACACTGAGAACAAGAGGGACTCACCAATTGTTGATTATCCTCGTCCACTCGAAATAACACCCCTTCTAAGATTGATCCTATTTTCGTGAACGATTCTCCTCATGATCGATGACAATTTTTTCCTCAGAACTCCAAAAATCGCGTTGAAGCCACGACGAAAAAAATCCTTTCTCTTCTTTGGGCACTGCAAATAAAAACCAAAATTAATAAAAATACTGACTTTTCATCCACTAGAGACAATAATTTAAGGAAATTTAAATTCAAATTGTGGACAAAGTCGCCAAAGTCCAACAAATTTGACACGAAATTTGCTGTATATTGGAATTTTGAGGTTATACATTCGACAAAAGCAAAATTTTTGTTTCATTAAAACTTTTTCTATTTGGTAATAAATATTTACCGGAAACATTGAATGTCGACGGAACTGAATACAAATATTGACAAAATTATTATATCACTGATGTTATATTTTATTTTTATTCAACTTTTTACGATTTTTTAACAAGAAATCACGAGAATCGCTGTCTCTTGTCCCATGCAGAAATGCCAACAGTAGAGGAATAAAAGAACTAACATTTCTCATTGTTGCCAACCTAACTCCGCGGCACTTTGCCACCTAGCGGCAGGAAAGCGAACTCAACTTTCAAAATTTGGCGGGAATGTTACAAAATTTTTATTTTACTCCTTTTTTAAAATTCTTAATTCAATAAACTCTAAGGGACATAATTAGAAACCTACTTTTAACTTGGTATTTTTATGTAATGTATTTTTTATGTATTTCCAATCAAAGGGAACAAATACAAAATGTTTGCCGTAGGAATGTATATCACATTTTCAAACTTTACCTTTTTATATCACTTCGTTTATATACACATGTCCAGAAGTTTGGTCAATTTTAAAACTCAATTTTCGTCATAATTATTTTCATCTCAGGACCAAAATAATATACTGAAAGCCATGGATAAACAGCATACTGCAACGTAGGGACTCTTTCGCTCTCCAATCCTGGCACACTTCCAAAAGATCCCCAAGAATCTATAGTGACATAGAAAATAATCAAAGTTTAAAAACGATTCTTCGAAAAAGGAGAAACGAAATAAATTAACATTTTAGAAAACATTTTTTTTTATTCTTTTTATTACTTACCCGACTTTATGTCTGTCTAGCAAACTAGGCACTATGGAACGAATATACGCACACGTGCAAATTAGCAGGAAAATCACTGTCAGCAGACTCTGGAAATCGAATAGGGCAGACTACCCCATAGAAATCTAATTATTATTTATTACTACTAATAATATTAATCAATTTGAATATAGGAAACAATAAATTTAAGAATTTTGAGGTTATATTGACGTCGCAATAACAACAAAATTTGATCTTTATTTCTAAATGTTAACGCGTAGGAAATTAGATTTTACGACTCACCATTGCAATCGGTCACGCAATTCTCGATGAATTAACTAATTCGCTTGGTGAAACTGATTTAAATACGTGATTTACATGCAAATATGTTGACGATAATTGACATGTTGACTGTTGCATGAATACTGAATTGTGAATTGGCAGCTTTGGCAGTACTGCCCAGCGGCCATCTTGAATTTCAGTCCGCGCAACTTGAAGTTGTCTCTGAAAGAATGGCGCGCACTTTAAAATAGACACTACACATTTTTCTTTTCTAATTTTTAAATTTACTCTCTAAAACAATAGATTTATAATTATTAAGTTAATAAATAAGAAAACAATTCAAAACACTAAAGTATAAAGAATAAACAATTTATAAATAAACAATTTTTTTAAATACTAATATCAATTTGATTATTTAAAAAAATATTTTCAATAGATGTAACTTTTTCACCAGCGATCGGTTGGCAAGCTTGATTACAAATACAAAAACAAAATTTACGTTTCGTTTGTAGGTTATGTTAAACCAGATTCAATTGTTGTGAATTTAGACCAGAGAAATTAAAAAAAACAAATATTTATTACAATACAAAGTGAATATCAACTTTCAGGTGAGTTTCATAATCAGAGTTAACGAAAAAAGGTATTTTTATTGCAATTTACATTCAAATCTTAAAATAAACTATAAATTTTACCAAAATTATTTATAACCTCCAAATTCTGTTCACGCAAAGCACGCAAATTTTATATGTTTTGGTATAAATTTATTTAATAATTAAGCAGAGTTTAGAAAAAAATAATTAGTACCAATATCAACAAGTTGTAAGACTATAAATTTTTCACAAACTTTGTAAATTTATGAAAATTATGCAACAATTTAAAAGTTGTTTCCATCGAGTGCATCGAGTTTTTTCCCCTGAACATATAATATACGTACGATTTGTACTAATTAAAAGTTTAGTAATTAACATTTTTCCAGAATGATACCAAGAATACAGACCATGTTAAAAGTAACTGAAACTATACCTTTTCTTGGAAGGAAATTTAACTGTTGGTCAGCAGCAATTGCATGTAAACACAGGAAGAATTACTTAAGAAGTTATCCTGTCACACTTGTTTCAACCAATGGTAGCAGTATAAATATTTCATATTCCGAACCTAAAAGAATTGTTGTACTTCCTCTAAATTTGGAACTCCTGACAGACGAAGAACGTAAAATTATTTTACAAAAACGAATGCCAAAGAAGAAAGTCACCATTATTAAAGACGACGATATGGATGATTTTGATGAAGAGCGATACTTACATTTAGCGAAACGTTAAATTTAATAATAAAACTATAGTTTAATCGACTATATTAATAGAATATATTAAATATAATAATTTAGTTCATCTAATTTTTATATTCTACGAAAAAATAATGGACAGAAAATATCCACGATTTCAAATAAAGAGAAAGAGGAATATTTGTTCGTCTTGTGTGAATACAATATTTATGTGATTTTTATCATCGCATGCCGGAACATAGTTTTAATGAGAAAGGCCGGATGTTACTTTTTACAGCAAAGAGGAAGACCATTGTTTACTCCGTAACAACTGTAAACATATTAATGATCCTGCGACGAAAAGGCTGAATAAAAAAGAAAAAAAGTAGATACAGTCCGTCAAGCACTGCCAATTTTCTGATCTATCCTTTCTACACTTCTTACGCAATTTTCAGGTTTATTATACCTATTTTTTCGTTAACTACCTCCAAGAAACAATTTTTCTTTTTTTAAGTAATTTGAGGTAAATTTGCAAACGCCAACGGAAAAACTTACGGCAATAATTACTATACTTTACAAAGTTAACTAATTGACATTTTTTTCACTAAACTTGATTTTTTACCAAAAAAAATTATTATACTAATAAATAATTTTTTAGTCTGGAAATTTTTTATAGTATTCGATGTTTGACAAAATATCTTTATTTTGTTGTTGAAAACGAAAGTGAATTGAATCCAATTCCAGGTTGGAAAACTTTTTCTAAATTCAAAAACAGGTAAATTTGAATAAATTTAATTTGAATTAATTATATTCATAATTATTAATATCGACCTTTTTCTAATTACAGACTACAGGCGAAATTATTCAATAATTCTAATTTATTACCGGAAAAAGAAATAAAAAATGAAAGTAAAAATTATATCCCATTAAAAATGAGTTCATCTCTGCGTCCTTGAACGTGTTTTTTCGGAAGAAAGTCCATTTGAATGATCGTTATTCGGCAAATTACTTGAACCACTTTCAAATTTACACTCAAGACATTTTTCTTTTTTTCTCTTCCAACACATGTCATCGAAATTAAACGGAAGTCAAAGATTTATTGCAGAATTTATTTTTTTGCTGGAATTCGAGTTTTTACTGGATTTTCTTTGATTTTTTGTTCACTATTCTACTAAATAGTAGAAGTTGAACCTATAATTAGCAAAAGTGATGACGAAATATTTTTCTCCTGAAATCGATAAAAATTTGTTCCATTTTTAACACATAGGGAAAAAAAAATTTTTTTTCTACTTTCACCAGCTCACACCTACATTTTCAAAAGTAATTTTCGTTCAAGTGTTAACCAAGAAGGCCGAGAATAATAATTACCATGCGAAAATATTAGTCGAAGACATAAACGAACACCCAAATCGAAAGTCATTTTAGTTCATCAAAGGGGAAAGTGTCAAATAGTCTAAACACAACGCCGTGCACTCATAATAATTATCTGATGAAGAAAAAAATGAAAGTATAACTCGAAAAAAGAACTAATTTAAATTCAATAATTTAATTTAACTTCCGGAATTTGATTTCATATCTTTCAATCATGACATTCGTTTTATTTTTGTTGTATTTATTTTTATTATTGTATTTGTATTTATTTTCATATTTATTTTTATATTTATTTTTATATTTATTTTTATTTTTACTTTTATATTTATATTGAGAAATATTTTATTTATTTGTTGGTATTTTTTTGTAATTTTGTAATTTTTTGTAAATTTTCCAATTTCGATGGCATTTTCTTGTATTATTGTATTTTTGTTCTATTGTATCTTTTATTATTGTATTTATATAATTATTTGTATTTATATTCACACTCTCCGTATAATTTATAATCAGAAATATTTTGCAATTATTTTTGTATCTCTTTTTCAGGAATTCATTTCATTCATTTGTGATGAAGAAACAAATGAAAGGATTCAAAGGATTTTAATGAAGAAACAATTGGATTAATTAAGATGAATAATCGATGGATGTGAATTCATTCTCTCTACCTGGAAAGGAAGTGGGGAATGAATAGCAGCACACTTCATAATAACACATCAATTGACTTTTATTAACTTTAATGGTCATAATGATAATGTAATGTGCAATGTATAATATTTGCTGATTGCACAATATCATACCTAACAGAGTGAATTTCCGGTTCCTGCGCTCACACAAATTCCACATCTCTCTCTCACTCTTTTTATTTTTGTAAGTTCATTTTATCTGATCTGCTTTCCATTTAAAAATGCTTTACATAATCTATCCTGTTTTTTTTTTACTATTTCAAATTTATTTTAAACATTTTTTTTCTAATGGTACTTTTTAGAATTTATTCACAAAACTTTCCTTTATGTCGTTACTTTCATTTTTAAATTTGCATTTCAACTATTTCGAGCATTTATTTGATATTTATTTGTATTATTTGTATGTAATTTATTTTTTTATTCATTCTTTTTATTGGATTTTTTTACTTATTTATTTTTTTTGTATTTTATTTATATTTTTTTGTATTCAAATTGTGAGAAAATTATAAAACGAGTATTTGAAGATTGTTTTAATATTTTTCTGTATTTTTTAATTTTTTTCTACTTTTTGAACTTTTTGGTATTTTTTGTAATTTTCGTACTTTTTTTTCTTCCTTCTATTTTTTTTAGACTTTTTTGTATCTTTTGTACTTTTTTTTCTTCCTTCTATTTTTTTAGACTTTTTTGTATTGTTTTTGTATCTTTTGTACTTTTTTCAACTTTGTTCAATTTTTTGCTGCTTTCTTTAAATTTTTTTTATTTTTTTGAACTGTTCTGTATTTTTTTGTAATTTTCGTACTTTCTTCTTCTTCCTTCTATTTTTTTAGACTTTATTGTATTTTTTTGGTATCTTTTGTACTTTTTTTCAATTTGTTGCTGCTTTCTTTTAATTTTTTCTACTTTTTTGAACTGTTCAGTATTTTTTTGTAATTTTCGTACTTTTTCCTTCTTCTTTCTACTTTTCTAGACTTTTTTTGAATGTTTTGTACTTTTTTCTAATCTTTTCTACTTTTTTAAACATTTTTGTAATTTTGTGTACTTTTTTCTAATTTTTCAGCTTTTTTCAATTTTTTGCTGCTTTTATTTAATTTTTTCTACATATTTAAACTTTCTTGCATTTTTTTATATTTTTTGTACTTTTTTCTACTGTTTACTTCTTTCTTCTACTTTTCTCGATTTTTTTTTTGTATCTTTTGTTCTTTTTCGCATTTTTCCTATTTTCTTTCTATTTAAATTTTCATTTTATTTCATTCATTTGCAATTTATTTATTATTCTATTTTAAATTTTTTGTATAAAAAATTTTCCATTTTGTCTATAAAATATTTTACATTTTTTGTGTAAAAAATTTTCCATTTTTTCTATAAAATATTTTCTCTTTTTTCTATAAAATATTTTCCATTTTTTTTATAAAATATTTTCCATTTTTTGTAAAACAAATTTTACATTCTTTGTATAACAAATTTTACATTCTTTAATTAATTGAAAAATTTACACAATTGTCACTATGAGTAACGATTGAGAAAAAAATAACTCTCAACAGCTGTGACAAATTTCAACTCTTTTAAGGAAATTGGAGCAAGCGATGTTTTTGAAATTCTGCAACTTCCGCGTTTGCATTGAAATCCTTGGGAGAAAAAAAAAGAGAGACATTGCGTATGCCTTTGGGATCAGCGGCCCCTAATCAGTCAAGTTTTTTTTATTGCTTTGTCTATTTTCTAGAAAATCGTAAATTAAAATTCAAGTAACGATTGACAGTCATTCGTTAATGTGTCTAAATCTTTTTTTTTCCTGTGGATGAACTTCATTAGAATACAAATTTTAACGAGGCACCTTTTATTTTATTCTTTTTCTTTATCTTTATCGCTATATTAGTCCTAGAATTTCCTTTGAACTTTCGCAATTTGGTAGTTTCACTTTTATTGAAAGTCTGCTCGTCAGTTATTTTTATATTAAAAATAAAAACAATTCCTAAGTTCATTCACATTTCTCCTGATTTCTCATTATTTTTTCTGAGACTAAAATGATGATCACGATTTAATGTAACATTTTATGTAACTTCTGGAATTTTTTTCTGTATTTTTTTTAGTAAATGTATCAAAAATGTTGAATGGAAAATTTTACTTTCTAATTCTGAATTTCGAATTGTTGAAGTAGCTTTTAAATTTTTAAATTGTTAAAGTCTGAACTGTAAACTTTTTTTTAGAGAAGAAGAAAAAATGGAAAAATTTTATTAAAAAAATGTATTGAGAGTGTATAAAATAACGGATTAGAAGTTAAAAAATAACGGATCGAGTAGATCAACCGAAAATAAAACGGTTTTATCGTTAAATCTCTAATCTTTATTATTGTGCTTTTTCAGGTACCGCTTTGGAAGCTTCTTTATGGTGAATATAAAATTTACAAAAGCGAAGAGTGCGTCCGGCATATGAATAAAAATACTGCCCACACCATACACGATTTGTAAACATCATAAGGCATTCAAAAGACAGGTAAAGAGACAGACTTTGCTTCGGTGGGGATCAGTTTATAGTAGGCCACGAGGCACTCGCGTTCTTGGTTGCATGTTCACGACTCTCTCTTCGCTGGATAAGGCCAACATTCAGAAATCTCAACACTCAAACAAGAATATTCACTTCTCTCTCTTTTTTCCAAAAAAAAAAAAAACCCATCAAATTTTCAAAAAACGCTACAAAAATACCAAAATATTCAAAAACACAATTTTAACATCACCAGAAATAAAAGAACAAAAAAAAAACAACTTCGAGAGTAAATGAAAGGTAAATTGTGATCTAAATCAAAAAAGGATTAACTTAAGAGAAATCAGAATCGAATTTGGAGCAAAAGAAGTTTGGAAAAGTTTTTTTGGAGAAAGTCTCTTTGGCGAAATATCGAAAAAAAATGTGTTGTGCCGCGTGATAAATAATTAATAACAATCTATATTCATTTTTTTAATGGCAAGTGATTCGAGGTGAAAAGAGATGTTATTACTTGGCGAAGGAGGAAATTAACTATTGCGGGAAGGAGGCTATTATATTGAATGCTTAATAGAGAGAAGATATCGCTGACAATCTGAAGATTAACAGGAAGTTGTTGTTGGTTATTTTTTTTTTTTTGCATAGAGGTGTTGGAGAAAGTGTCATTATATTCATATGCCTCGGTTTGTGTCTAACGTCGCTCACTTCCGGGATTTTAGTTTCTGGAAAAATGTTGCAATTTTGAACGAAATCAACCGTATTGGATTTAAAAAGTACAGAAACGTGAGATGATCGGAAAACTTCTCCTGAGTTTTTGGATATTTCAATGGATCCACATTCTTGGTAATTAATATCCTTTTTCTATTTTTTTTACATACTTTTTACCATTCTCATCATGAGAAAGTAATTTTAAAAGACTAATCTTTTAATCAAAAAGAAATTTATAGAAGAATTGTTTGAATAAACGTAATTATGAATCAATATCTAGATCTAAATTTTCACTTGAAATTTTTAATTAGAAAAATTAGGAAAATTAATAAAGTGTATAAAATATATAATTAGTGTATAGAAACTCGAATAGAAATATTACAAATAGTAAAATGGCAACACATTACGTCAGTTATCAGCGTAATTAATTTCTATAATTCACAGTTATGTTATCTTTGCTTTATATTTTTTACTCCTCTATTTCTAATACCTGCTTTTTAATAATAATCTATAAAAGTAAATGGAATTTTCAATTTTGCGATATTGAAATAATATGTAAAAAAATGCGAAAAATAAATTTACATAGAAATATAAATTCGGAATATTAAAAAAAAAAACTAAAAACAGAAAGTACGTGTCTAAATATTTAATGTCCCTTTTTTTAGAAAAGGGATAAATACTTTTTTAATTTAGACAAATACTTTTTAAATTGATCAATTATGTAATATTTGAAGATTATATATTTATGTGTAAAATAATTATGCAATTTCCTTAGAAAATGATGGGAAAAAAACAATGCTCACGGTCAAAATACTCATAAAAGTCAGTTTTCAACTTTAAAACAATGTTTTGCAATAAGCTGTAAATTATCTTTAACATGTCTTTATAATGCAAGAATTGTGTTGGGTCACAGTGTATGTAGATTGAGAAGACATCGATGCGGGGTAACTGTACAAGTAGTGAAAGCGATCCTCATTGACATATTATTTAAGCAGGTTCTTTCCTTACGATTTTCAATTGTCAAACTTTAAATCTAGTGACGCTAATTACAAAAATTTTTCAGGAATATTTAAAAGTTAAAAAAAAGTTATTAAAAAAAAGTAAAAATAAGTTCATTTTAAAAATTGATAACAATAAGTGTCTAAATTACTGACTAAATAGAAAAACAATGGAAAAAATAACAAAATTTTGAAAAAGATGAAAAATGTAGAAAAAGTAATAGAAAAAGTAAAAGATTATAGAAAAATAAAAATATGTAGAAAGAATATAAAAAATACAGAATAAATAATAGAAGGAAAAAATTTTTGAAAAATATAAAAAATATAAAAAAAAATAATAGAAAAAGTAAAAAATTATAGAAAAATAAAAATACATATCTAGAAAGAATAAATAATAGAATGAAGGAAAAAATTTTGGAAAAATAGAAAAAATACGGAAAAAATATTAGAAAAAGTAAAAAATTATAGAAAAATAAAAATTTGTAGAAAGAATAAATAATAGAAGAAGGAAAAAATTTTGGAAGAATAAAAAAAATATGTAAAAAATAATAGAAAAAGTAAAAAATTATAGAAAAATAAAAATATGTAGAGCGAATAAAAAATACAGAATAAAAAATAGGAGGAAAAAATTTTGAGAAAATAAAAAAATATAGAAAGAATAAAAAATATTGAAAAAATTATAGAAAAACAAAAATATTTAGAAAGAATAAAAAATATATAGACAAAATAATAGAAAAAGTAACAAAATTATAGAAAAATAAAAATGTGTAGAAAGAATAAAAAATACAGAATAAATAATAGAAAGAGGGAAAAATTCTGGAAAAGTAAAAAAATATAGAAAGAATAAAAAATATTTAGAAATGATAATAGAAAAAATAGAAAAAGGGGATTAAAAATATTTTTATCTCAAATCAAATCGAATTCTTTCAGTCTTAAATATTAGTAGAATTCTACTATTTGAAAGTATGTCATGTTTTTGCATTTTTACATTAACATATATATTTCTTATCAATTTTTCTATTTTCATTAAACCAAACCCACTACCAGCATTAAATTTATTACTACTTTACAATTTAACGGTTCATTTATCTTTTGGAAAATTAAAAAAAAAACATTTTTAATTATCAATAATTATTCAAATGTAATATTTAACTGTACCATTTAAAATCCGCCATGTCATTTTATTTATACAAATTAGTTACTATCGAATTTAATATCAAACCAAAAAATTAATTACAAATCTTACATACATTTATATACAAAATATTTAATTTAACGGTTTCCTTATAATCATTTTCTCAAAAAATTTCCAACACCGATAGTTTAATGAATATGACGGAACTTGAATTAATATTTTATCTTGATTGAGGTCATCGTGTTGCATTTCATGTCTGATTATAAAATATCTATATATACATAGAAATCTTTTCTTATGTTTCATTTCGATGACAAATGGGTCATCAATCTCCAGTTTCATAGGCACTCTCTTTTGTAATTGGGGCAAGAACTATTTTATAACACTAGAGAAAAAAAGAAGCAGAAAAAAAGCAAGGAAATGATTTTAAAAGAATTATGATCTCTAAAAATTGTGTATTTAAATTAATTGGAATTTTTTATGAATTTGAAGAAATGAAAGACTTTCCGAAAGAAAAGAAAACAAAAGAAAAAATTATTGTAAGAGGTGAAAAAATTTTTCGAGAAAATTTAGATCTAGATTTTGAGGAATGATAAAATTAAGGATTCGTATTAATTAGAAATAGATTAGAATTAAATTAGAATCAAATTAGAATCGAATTAAAATCACAATAGAATAAAAAATTGAATAAAAATAGAATCAAAATAGAGTCAAATTAGAATAAAAATAGAATCAAATTTAAATCGAATTAGAATCAAAATAGAATAAAAATCGAATTTAATTAGATCCAAAATAGAACAAAAATATAGTCAAAATAGAATAAAAATCAAATCGAATTAAAATATAGAATCAAAAATAGAATCAAAGTAGAATAAAAATCGACTCGAAATGGAATAAAAATCGAATTGAATTAGAATCAAAGTAAAATAAAAATCGAATTGAATTAGAACCAAAATAAAATCAAAGGAGAATAAAAATCGAATCAGAATCAGAACCAAAATAGAATCAAAATAAAATAAAAATCGAATTGAATTAAAATCAAAGTAGAATAAAAATCGAATTGAATTAGAACCAAAATAAAATCAAAGGAGAATAAAAATCGAATCAGAATCAAAATAAACTAAAAATTGAATAGAATCGAATTACAACCAAAATTGAATCGAATCGAATTAAAATTAAACTAGAATCAAAATATAATAAAAATCGAATTGAATTAAAATCCAAATAAAGACAAATTAGAATAAAAATCGAATCGAATTAAAATCCAAATAAAGTCAAATTAGAATAAAACTAAAATCAAATTAGAATAAAAATTGAATCTAATCGAATTAGAATTAAAATAAATTAAAAAAATTAAAACAGAATCAAATTACAGTCAAATTAGAATCGAAACTAAGAAAAATAATTATTTCTACAAGAGAGAAAGAAAGAGATTGTTTACAAAATATTTCAATCGTAAATTTAATTTTGAAGATGTTTCTCATTTACAAATTTTATTAACACATTTGTGTACTTTCCGTTCGCTCTGGTAATTTAATTTGATTATAGTAATCACAACAACGTGCTCTTGAATTTCTCTAAAGCCAAACGACAGCAATAAATATCTATCGATTAGAAAGAACAAGAATTCAGGTACAAGTTCATCAAGTTAGAGTCAAACGAATGCTATAATAGTGAAACAATTTTTTTTCTTCTTTTTCTTCTTCTTCCTTTTTTTTTGAGATAACTAACGTGATTTCCAACTAAGTTACAGAACGATGGCCGGTTCCTTCAGGATTTCTAATTTGTCGCAAAGACTTTCTCCAACAAGTTTTACACACATATTTTGCCTTTATTTCCCCACACGAAAAAAATTTTACCGCAAAACTTGGAAAATTTTACTTAATTTTTTTTTCTGTTAGAATCGAATGTCAATGTAAATATTTTCCCTCAAAAATTATTCATTAACAGAAGAAAAAAATCTTCGTAGAATAGAATTTTTATTAAATTGAATTTAAATATTTAAATTAAACAAAATTTATTTAACTTTAAATTTTTTGGATAAAAAAAAGAAATTTTTCGAAAAAAATTAATTCTCGGGAATTTCTAATTTATTGCGATTAAGATATTTTATACTTTCTCCTGTTATTTCTTTTGAGAGTTCGATAAATAATTTTTTTTTTCTCTCATTTAGTCGCGAAGAAAAATGCGTGTTTTAAAGGAGGAAAAGTAATATTCTTCGCGATTTTTTGTTTTTTCTCATATTGTGAACCATAAAGAATTGTTTGTATTTTATATTTGAATGTACAGTAGCTATTTGAAAGCAATTGCTAATTATCCCCGCTCTATAGGTGCGAGGCCTATTGAAAATTTTTTCAAATTCCATTAACTGGTATGAAGTAAAACATTCATAAAATGAATACTTATTAGACGTCAATGAAAGTAACACCGCGCGAGTATAGGACAATAATCGATGAAAAAGATTTCTTTTCGACAATTGCAAAACATTGTAAAATAACTTTCGCACTTTCTGAATTCTTGCTTTTAACTTTTACAGTTAACTATCTTAATTAGAATTTTAATCGTTTCCTAAAAAAATAATTTTTATCCTTTCTTTTTCTTTTCACTTTTTTTTTCTTTTTTGCACTTTTCTCCTTTTTTGTATACTTTTTCCTGTACTTTTATAATATTACTAAAAGCTGCTTTTTTCTTTTTTTTTATGAGAATTTGCACTACTTTAATTTCGCTAATAGTTGAAATAAAAAAATTATTCTCGAAAATTGTAATACAATTTCTTGAAACAATTCAATTATTTTCCAAAGTTTTGAGAAAATTTGTCGCAAGAATTCAAAATTATTTTCACAAATAATAAAATTCTTCTCCGGAATTCAATTATTCTTAATATCTACTATATATTAATAAAAATTCTCAAAAAAAATTCAAGTATTTAGAAAAAATTAATAAAATAATTCGAAAGAATTCAATTATTCTTAAAATAAATAAAATGCTTAATTTATCATTTT